AATTAGTCAGGCAGTCAGGGGCAGTCGGGTGAAATATAAATCTGCTGATTTACACAGAAATAGAGCCAAAGCCAGAGACCGCTGCCAGCCATAAAAACAAATTAAGCCAAAATGTTAAATAAACAACTTTCGCTGAACCCGCTGACAGTCGTAAGCCAGCCCGGCAGCCCCAGTCCCATGTCCCCTCCCCCCCGTCCATGGTCCATGGTCCCTGGGCACCAAAGACAAAAGTTATCTTATTAATTCTTTGCCACATTTCACACACTCCCCGCTCGGTCGCTCGCTCCCCCTTACATCCCTGCCCACCAGTCATCACGCCCCACTAAACACCCCCCAGTCTCCGTTAATACGCACAATCAAATGTGATAAATATAACGAAATATTGTAGCATAATTTTGGGAAACTAAGCCGACAGAAATAACACTTGAACAAATATTAGATCAGCCCCGGCTCGCATTCTTCCCATCACTCCGCGTTCTCCCTCCCCCAATCTCTCACTCTGGACACGCATCTTGCCTCGTTTTTCCATTTGCCTGCCTATTAGGCCATGTTTGTTGTAGCCATTTCTGAATGAGTACGAGTACAAGAACGGGGTGCCGAGGGATGCCGAGGAAGAAACAGAGAATGAACCATCTATGTATGAGTAATCGCTTTCATGCTTGATGACCGAAATGATTAATGGATTTGGGGGAATTGAGCCAAGTCCAAGATTAAACGCAACAGTTTCCAAGCATTGATCATTTGTTACCCACGCTCCATACGCACTTGTACATCTATCCATTTGGAGGGGCTCCTTTTTTGTTAAGAAATAAACCCTTCAGAATTTAAGTGGTGGCAGGAGTGGCCCTTACGGCCCTTGAAACTCATTTTTAATTTTCTAATAGTCAGGGAAATACATTCGGATACATGACTGACCCAAAGACACTCTGAAGTTTGCATCTCTGTACCATTGTATTGCACTGAAGAACACCTAAACTAATGAAATACTGAACAAGCACATACTCAAATTCCTTCAGGATACTTCTAATAGACCTGTGAATCAACTCTGGAAGCGAACAGCTTCATTCATTTATCCAACACGTAAATAAATCAATTTGCTAAATTCATAATTATCAGACGGCAGCAGCAGCAGGGAAAATGAAATTGCCTCTCTCCAGTTTTGAGTCGAGCAGAGCTCGCATTTGAATAATTTCCATTTGCAGATGGTAGACAAATATAAATGCCTTATCCCAGGGACGAATCAACAAGCCATAAACAAGCCAAACGAGCAACGCCAAAGACTTGGCACAATGCAAAAAGGATTCTGCCTTCTGCTGCTGCTTCTGCGAATCCTGGTCGTGATGCCTCGCTCCTGTTTATTCTGCTGGTGTCCACCTCTGTCCCTGTCCCAGTCCCAGTCCTGGTTGCGTCTCGACAACTTTTTTTTTCTTTTCGCTGCTATGGTTTCAGCTGCTTCTGGCTCTGCTCTTGTTTGGGCCAGTGGTTTTGTCATTGTTTTTGGCTTGGCATTTGCTTTCGCTCCTGCTATCTGGCCGCAAGGATTAATGGGGTCAATTTGGCTGTGACACGCACCCGCAGTCGTACTCGTACTCGCAGTCGCAGTCGCAACGGGAATGGGAATGTGAACTGCAACTGGCCCATGAAACATGGCCACGGGATGCGGCTCATTTCACGCAGGCTGAGTGCACTGGCCATAGAGAGAGGCATAGCGAGGCAGCAGCAGAAGCAGAAGCTGAACTCAACCCCAAAGACAAATATTCCATTTCAATTTACTCTTTTAAATTGCAAACTTTAGGGACAACTTAAAGTCCCCATGAATACACACACGCATACACACACACACCCAGACACACAAGCAAGGTTGAGCATACGCGAGTAAAAACTAACATTCCTTCGCCTCACACGCACATCCCCAATAACACGCAACAAGAGAAATGCGAGAAGAAAGTTGAAAAACGAACCCAACTGGGGACGACAAATTCAACATGTCAGCCATTAGAGCGAGCCAGAGAGAGAAAGGGAAAAGAAGGAGAGAAGGAGAAAGGCAGCTGTCACGAAGATGAAACTATTATCCACGGAAATTAGCGAGTTCCAATGACAAAAACACATGAAATGCAAAAACTTTTCGCCCTGCTTCAAGCTCAATTTCTAAATTGTTGTCGACATTGTTGCTGTTGCTGCCGCTGTTGCTTTTGTAGTTGAGGGTCCCCTTGTTGTTTTCCCATAAGAGGTTTTGTCTCCTCATGAAACTCACTAATGCGCATTTAAGCACAACCAAACAACCAACAACAAACCAAACCGAACCGAACCGAACCCAACCCGCCCAACCAGGCATGTGTAAAACTTTCAGTTGTTTCATTGAATACCAATACGAGTACGAGTATTTGTTGCATTTTGCTCAATATATAATCGGTTTACTGCTCTTGTCGTTGGCTAAAAAAAAATAAAAATCAATTTATTAACAACAAATTTCATAGGTGTACAATTTTGTGACTCAACTACGACAGTGGCTGGCTCTAGAATTACCATATTCAGATTATTCTAGGACCTTTACTCTTCTGTCTCAGAACAGCAATTATATATTCAAATATTTAATTACTTATGTTTCTCAAAATTGCACAATTTATCCCATTCTCGTTCCCTTTAGACGAGAATACGTTTCAATGCCTTAAATACAAGAAGGAAATTGCCATAGAAAATAAATAACCTCTGCAAAACATTTCTATACGAGTTGTTCCTTTCTCTAAATGGCCAAATCGAACAGAAAAAGTGTCACTACAGCCTTGGTAGTCCATACCTCTCGCTTGGCCATAAATAATTTCTGTTGCACTCACCAAATTTGTTTCCCATTTGCCAAGACAATCTCTTTAAGACCCGTTTATAGTAATGTGGATGTATATATGTGTGTATGTAACTTTGTATCTATGTTTTTTTGTATCTTTATTCGAGTGTACATCTCGAATGACATGAGAATAGCCCAGAACGCTGTTTCCGCTTGACTTTCAGGCCATAAAACGACCGAAAGGGAAGGACCAGAAAAAGGAAAAAATTGAGGCACATAAAATATGCGTAAAATATATGCGCAAAAATAGTTGGGTCATCTAATGGCAGAGCCAAGTCCAGACCAAGATAATTGCGCGCGCCCGTCTTTGTCCTTTGTGCTTTGCATTTTCTATTTGGGAATCCCCAGACCCCTCAGCCCCATCTGCCGCCTCAGCCTCATCGCAGGGACGAAAGATACACTCAAAATTTTTACGACCCCAAATGGCATTAAATATCCAAACGTACTTGACGCGACTTTCTTGGCTACGTGAAGTTCTCAGCTCGGCTCAGGGTTCTGCCTGGCTGGGGTTCGGATATGTCTGGGTTAGTTTTTCCTAGTTGCAAGTGAGGCAGTGTGGCAGGGAGAGGGAGTGGGAGTGGTGGGATTGCTTTTATTGCCGGCCATCAAAAAATGTTAAAAGCCCGATTTCCATGCCCATTGTCTGCGACTGTAATTGCTTTGGCTTTGCTCCACTGAATGTGAGTGTGAGTGCTGAGTGCTGAATGAGGGCGAAGGAGTGCTCATAGGAGTCACAGATTCGCATTTCTGTTCTACATAAAGCAAAATTGATGGGTACTCGTATACTGCTCCTTAATAGACTTATTTGCATTACGACTTTGATTGTAGCCCGAAATAGTACAAAATAAAGTCTATAAAATGTAAAACAAATTTTGAAAAAGTGAAACCATTCAATGTCTTAAAATAACTCTTAAAATGAAGACACTGTCTTTTAACATTACTATTCCATAACATTTTCTATAAAATGTTGTCAACAGTATGTCTGTAACAGACAGATAACATTTTATGGAGTTCTGAAAGCCAACGGTCGAATTAACAGTGCATTAACAGAACCTTCAACCCAACTCACTTGGTTATTCATTAATTTAAAAGACACATGTAAAAATAAATGCTTATCGTTTACTGATCATTGAGCAATCATAAAGTAACTTTTTTCCTTTGCATACTCAAACCAAACTACCTTAATATGAACATGGCGATACGATTTCTAACAATTAAGGCTGCAGCGTACAATTAAAAGGATGCCAGAATCTCATATCATGTCTCTCTCAATAACATATACTGTAAAAGTGCTGTTCTGTTCAGAGAACATTATGGTCTAATACAGTTAGCTAACATTTTGTAGACTTTTCGTTTTAACATAAGTACGACCCACGGTTAAACTAACAGTGAACTACCAGACCGACAGAAGCTGCCGAAATTATGAGCCAAAAGGTAATAAATGATTAATTTACAATTTCCTGGCAAAATTTGCACAATGGTTTTCGAAAATATGCCTTAATCTTAACCCTATAAATTATCTTTGGCCCAATACTTGAATGCAAATAACTTGCAGCTTGACAATTTCAAATGTTGCCGCTTTCCCTGTAACCTCTCCTCGCAACTGACCCAGAAACGAGAGTCTCGTCTGAGAGAGCCGCAACCGAAGCCCACCGGGCGACAAAGCTACGAAAGAGAAACGTAACCTGCCACACGAACGAACTGTCGACATCTTTGGATGCTGACACGAAGCGCTTAACTTCGTCCTTGATTCCGTCACCATCGGAGGACTGCTGCGACAATATGTTACGTTTACTATGGTCGCTTGACTGACTTGCCTCAGCTGCGGCACAGGCAACGGCGTCGGCATCGGGACAAGCATCGGCATCGGCACCAGCATCGGCCACGCTATCCATCGAAGACAAGGCAGCTGCTTTAACGGCTCCAGCTGCTTGAGAGCCATCCGTGTTTCCCTTCGTCACCCATGACATCAGCGAAGTACCTCTGCTGCGGCGCTGCCACTGCCACTGATGCAGTCGGTGGCGCTACCACTTCGGCTTGGCCACACGCTGAGCGTTGAGCCGCAGCGTCGGCGTCGGTGGCGGCCACGGCAAGTGGCCCCAGCATCAGTCTCGAAAATCCTTCTGTGCGTGCAGAGGTTGCTAACGCGCGCCCGTGCCAACGACCACGCGGCGTATACGCAACGCCACGTAGAAAAAGACGAAATTCGCGCGATAAGCGAATCTGCCCGAAAGTGTGAGTGAGTGCCCCCTTTCGTGTGGCGAGTGTCGAGTGTTTGCCCCTTGGCCGGTAGCCGGTGGCTGGTTGCTGGCCTGGTTGCTTCCCGTTTGCCGGGCGGGTCCGGGCCGCGCCGGGCCAGACTGGACCCAATGAACCATACCAGAGGCATTGAACTGTGGCTCTGCCTGACTGGACCCCCGCTCCACGGCTGTTGTGTTGTTTTTGGTTTTGGTGCTGGATGGGATCGATGGCCATCGAAAAGTCTTAACAAGTGTGAAAGGGAGGCCCTGCGGCAGCCCTTTCCGCCTGATTATGGCTGCCTTTAATGCTTCTGACAGGTTGCTGCCCCCCGCCCCTTCTTTTTTGGTGGCTCGGCTCTTCTGACCAGGGTTCAGATTTGAGCCTCCATGTTCACTTGTCTTCTCGAGTGCTGGCGAATTAATTAACATGACAATGACGAAGGTGAATTGCGTGTTTGTAAAATGCTCCAATCAGCACTCGAAAGCATTTCGAATGGGCCGTTCTTTTTTCTCTGGTGATCCCTAACAAGTCTTTCGCATTTTTCGAGGCATTCACAAGTTTTTAATTAGACCCTTTGACAAATTACCGTTCGAAACACGCCACAATGGCCCGTAATTAAATGTTTATTGTTTGCGACTTTCGGGCTTGACAAGCGGCTGTTCCTGCCCCAAGACATGCTCCACGCCAGCCGACACTCTCGGCGTGCCTGATTGAAGCCACTCGATGGCACGGATCTAAAGGAGTGAGAAGGCAGATCTAATTGTTGGCTGTCGGACGACAGGGTGTGGCGAGGCCCCACTCAAGGACTCAAGGTGCTGGGATGAGTGCTGAATGATGATATGATATCATGTCGATGACTTCCACGAAAGTTGGAGTTGGGTGAAAATTATATCACGGTTGGGTAGAATCTCTTTGAGTGAATGGATTATTTACCAAAGGGAGGAAAAACTATGGGCAAAGCTGGATTAATTATCTATAATTTCCCATAATTAACTTCTCATTGATTTGATTTCATTGCACTTCTTGGCTGCCATGGAAACCATCAGCCGAGCCATTTTTTTCTCTTTGAATTAATTTTGACTAAAGAGAAATGGGATATTTCAAGAACCTTGCCCCCTCTGTACAATCACGAAGCGATAATTTTAAAAGGCATTTAATGCCAAGATTTCCAAAAATGTAATTTCTTCTCCATACATTTGATAGCCATATATACACACTCTTCTTATCTTCAATGTATTTCACTTAATTTATTGCATGAAGGAAACTATGTATTGCATGAGTATATACTTTTATTCTACCAGAATTTATTCTTCTACTTCAACATATATACCAAAATCTATCGGGCAACTGTTTGTCTTTAATCGTTTTTTCTGTGTCTATAATTTCAATAGTTATAATAATGTATCATTTTTTAAACTGTTCCAAATATATTTCAATCAAATGTATCCCAGATCCGAATTTATTAAATATTAACCTACTCAATGGGTTTGAACAATTAGAAAAAAGTAAAGTGCATTAAATCTTTTTAAAGTTCAGGCTTCTTTTATTCTAAGATTCACTTTGCCTTCACTAAAAATTAGATCCCACTTTAAACAAAAGAATGCTATTTTTCGAACATTTAAGTGTTACGCTTGCCGCATAAGAGAGTACAATTTTGCTATGTATATTATTTATAGAATATATAAATCAATATCACATTAAATTTTCATTCTATGCTTCGTGCCGCTCCTCATAGCCTCGGGTTTGCTTTAAAGTTGTGCCATGGCAACGTGTACACAAGTCATGCTCCCCACCCTTCGACTCCCACTTTCGACTTTCCACTGCCCCATCCCATCTACATACCCAGTCCCACTCGTGCTTTTATATTTGTCTAGCATTAGGGGTGAGGACTTTCAACTGCTGCTTCTGCCTCTGCTGCTTCTGATTCTGCTGCTGCTGATTCTCCTGGTTCAAGTGTGGCCACTTAAACCCTTTTGACAATGTCAGCCATCAGGCTCAGATGATGGCGATGACGACGACGATGATGATGATGACGCTGACAAAGTGGATGATGATGATGTGGCTCAATTCAAAACAGCCGTCGCACAAGCAGCATAAAAAACAAGCGAATCGTATGCATATGTATATGAATGGTTTTGAGTGTCTTTATGTGCGGCAAGAACATTGAAATTGAAAAAAATTACCGGTCCAAATATATCATCAAACAGAAAAAGTGGCAGAGCAACGATGTGTGGACGGCTTCCACTCACTTTACCTTGGGGTTGTTGCTGCCACAAACGTATATAGATATCTAAGTATTTAGCTAATTTGCTTTCGGAGAAATAAGCTCATGAAGCTAATACATTTTTTAGGCAAACAATGCCCACGCAGAGGACAGGAATTGAAAATGAATCATTTCAAGTGAAATATTCCCTCGCAATCACTCAGATTCAAGTGGTAAATGCTTAGAGGGAGGCAGTACCCAATGCCACCATCAGGCAGCAGAAAGCAAAAAGCAGCCAGCAGTCGAGTATTTTGCAATAATAATTTATAAATGAATGAATAAAGGGCGCACAGCAGCCAAAGGCAAATAAAAATAAATAAATAAAAATGGCAATGCGGCATAAAATGTTCCGAGGAGCTGGCCCCATCCCGGTACCCGTTCCTATCCGCATCCCCATTTCCATCCCGAGTGGGGAAACGGCGGAAATGTAACTGCGACGCGTTTATTTTATTGCGTATACGCGGCGCAGCAAAGTAGGCAACAATTTGTATATGAGCCTGTGTGAGTGTGGGGTGCTTTGTATTTGCTCATGTGTGCGTGCGTACATATGCCCTGCTTGCACGAGTATGTGATGTATGTTATATGGCAGCCACAGCAGCGGCTTAACTTATTTTCCACAAAATTAAACCATCAAAAATTTGCCAACAACAATGTGGGAATAATTTATTTGACTCATGTTGGTTCTCTGCCTCATTTCCACCTCCAGCCCTTGACTCCCGCCGCCATAGAAAGCCGCACCAAAAATAAAAAAAAAACACTCACACATACAGAGTAAACACACTCACACTGAAGAACTTGCATATTCGAACGAGTACGAGCATTCATATATACATATGTATAGAGAAGGCAACAGCAGCCGCAGCACCAGCAACAAGAAGGGAAACAACAAAGACTCTGGCGTTAGTTGCGGCTATGGTTATGTTGGTGACGCTTCCGCTGCCACAAAGGACAGCCCGCACACAGACACAGATACACGCACTATAGTGCGCCTGTAACCCACTCATGCACTTGACGCCACACGCATACATCGACAGAAACAACAACAAAGCTTCCGTCTTGTTCTTTTTTGGCCCAGGAGCTGCACACTTTTTGTTGCCGAAATTAAATAAACAGAGCAGCCGGCTAAACTGCCACGCCTCCTGTGCAGGCTCTTCGCTATCCTCTTCCCGCCCTGCGATGCCGTGATGATGAATTGAGGATAATGCCGGCAGGGATTTAGGGAAAATAATGCACAAAACTCATCGCTGCTCTCGTTCTCAAGAGTATATTGTATGCCACAGTTAGAAGGAAACCTTTCGATCAGAATTAATAGCCATCATTGAAGATCATCACTAAGATCTCAAAGACTAAAGCCGTTCAAGTTTGAATACCCTTTCATTCAACAATCATTGGAAGCGGAAAATTGCTCAATGCCTCTCCAGATCAAATATGATTTAATGATTACATATTAATATGTAAATATATCCATACCGATATCATATCTGCAGATTCAACCACTGAATACCAGGTACCTCGTTGTCGAGGCACTCGAGTATTTTTCCAGCCTCCTCCCCGAACTTGGCTTTGAAAAGAGTTAAGCGTTTATTTATTTACATACATTTTCGTGCTCGTTGTTCATTTTGCCCTTTTTCCCTTTTCCGATCTCTCCACTGCTCGTGTTGGCCCGCGGGCTCTGTTTATTAAGTCTCGAGTGGCAAGTCCCACTCCTACTCCTACTCCTACTCCTACTCCTACTCCTACTCCTAGTGCGAGTGCCAGTCCGAGTCCTAGTCACACTCCCACTGTTAGGCCATGTCCAAGTCAAACTTGGTGTTGTTGTTGCTGCTGCCGTTGCCTTTGGCTTAAACACAGCCAATTTCATGCAAAGTTGGATGCGCCCCACGTCGCTGTCCGCCACGTCCGTGATGGATGACTTTTGACGCCAGGCAACGTTTGGCGGCCAATTTGATTTGCGCCACACAGGCCAGACCAACTGGGTCTAAGGCTGAGGCTGAGTGTGAGGCCCAGGCCCAGGCCCAGGCATAGGCACAGGCTGAGGGCTTGCCAACGCCTGCAGCATACATCTGTCGATTTGTCAGACAGTTGGCGTCACAGTAGAATTTCTGTGCAGGCTTGGGAAGCTGGGGAGCGGCCCCAAAGTAGCCGGCAGTGTATTACAGATTGAGTTTTGAATTGTTAGCATTTTTGTGTGCCGGAGCAGCAGCGATGGATAACAAAGTAAGGGCGGCGGTGGCACAAGATGAATGTGTTGCCTAACTGGCAGACAATAGACCGATAATACAGCATTGAAGCTTAAAAGCCGTTTAAAGTCAGATGTAGAATGCATAAGAGATACTTCTTAATATGTAAATCAGCTTGTATGTGGACTTACGTCTCCTATTCTATAAGATGTGGTTCTAAGTAATGGTTAAGCCCATTGTAGATCTTCCTAATACAGAACTTCAGATGTATCAGAGAAGGTACGAGAAAATGGTACTTCTGGGGATAAGGGGATAGACCCGAGATGGCACAATAAATTGGAGTACTTATATGCATATGTAGGATGTAAAATATAAACGTTGGGTAACTTTTCGACAAGAAATAGGAACTTTCTTTTTATTATTTAGTACCAAAACATTTTCGTGATGAACAGGCCCAGATCTTGTAAGAATCTCTTCACTGACCTGACCTCGCTCACCGTTTATGAAAGCTGGCTTGTTTAATACATTAATCTGGTTAGCGAAGTGTTTTCATATCCACAGTGTTTTGGTTACCCTTTACCACCTGTCATAGCAAATTAAATCAGAGCCCGAAGCTGGATTTAGCTTCAGCAGTCCTTTACTCTGCCTTAGTCCCGATCAACTGTTCCGCTTCCATGTGGCTCGCTCTGTGGCAGCTCGCTTAGCACAAAGACAATCCGCCTGACGTATACGCCACATGGGTCGCGCGTGACACGGCAGCAGCAAGCTGCGTGCTCCTGGGAGGCCCAAACCCACACCCAAGCCATCCTGCCACCTGCTGTCTGGCCTGTCCCGACTTTAAGCCAATGCTAAGGCGGGCCTGTGCCAATGTCTGAAAGTCGACGAGACAGACATAAATTCCGAGAACATAACAGTATCTGGGGCAGAGCAAAGCAGAGGCAGCAGCAGCCATAACAACAGCAACAGCTCCGAGCGGAGCGGAGAACGATAAATCTTTAACGTGGATTTTGCATGTAAGCTAGCAAAAGTCTCCGCCACGGGATGATGCATGAGCCGAGCCGGGAATTTAATATGCACGCTCTCGCTCCCGCTCCCCAGTGCCATAAGCAACTTCTTGTTTAAATACTGCAGAACCGGAGCTGGCAGCAGTGAAAGTGCAGCGTTAATTTGCCCAATAAAATGCAGCCTGGAACACCCATCGTCCCAACCATGAGGAACTAGCGTTGCGGCCATAAATATCAGCAGCAGCCCCCGAGCAGGGAAAAGAACCATTCGTGACAAGACAAAGAAAGAAGGAAAGACGTCGGGGAAAGCCAGGGGACCGCAGCAGGGAGCGTGCCGCATTTAGAGGCAGTCAAACTGCCAGCCGTCGGGCACATCGCTTCCTGCCTTCTGCTCCTGCCTTCCGCTGATGGTGCTGCTCCAGCTCTGAGCCGAGCATTTCCGTTTCTTATCGCGGCAATGTAAACGCGTTTCCGTTTAATGCTCAGCATCGGCATCAGGCACACCCACAGTTCCAGTCGCAGTCTGGGAGCGACATTAAACTAGAAGCTCTGGTCTGGATTACAAGTAAATTGGAAAGGATTTGAAGATGAGCCCGCAGTCGGCGGTGGTGCTGATGCTGCGTCTGCTCGGCGCCCTGCTTCTGGCCACTTTTAATGGTAAGTAGGCTGAATCGTAGCTTGATATTTATGAACACGATTAGCAGTAAGTCCCCCCTGGCCCGCCCATAAATGTCATAAGCGCCGGGCTATCGCCAGAGCTGCGATTTATATTCGCAAGCGATTTATTTGCACAACTATTTACGAGCCCTCGCTTCAGCATCGGTGGCAGCCACGGTGGCAGCAGTGCAGCAGTGCAGCAGCTACATCAGCGCCAGTGGCAACAATTCAATAAATGCTGCAATTTGCACCGACAACAACCATAAATTTATCTTAAATGAACAAACATTTTTCTTGCAGCTTTGCCGCCTGCCTGGCAAATAAAATTCGATATGCAAAAGGCTTATCGTTGCCACAAAAGGCAGCAGCAACAACTATAATAAGTAATAACTAAAGCCCCGCACACACACCCCGACACCATTGCAATGCATTTCGATTCGTTGTACATAAGGGCCTAGTGCATAAAGGTCCCATAAAAATAGTATCGAAGGGGAAAACTATAGCCATCTCAGCAAGTAAATTACGGAATTTGGTGAAGCATATTTGTCAAAATAATGTACATTTGTTTGCATTGAAGAGTCTCATATTTCATGTGCAAAGTGAAATATCTTAAATAAAAGGGAATAGCTCGGGCCAAAGAATGATGGATGGCGAAAATGTAAAGTTTCAATCAAAAGGCTGCCATGAAAAATTGGAAATAAATTGCTGGATAATCTGAAAAGTCAACGTATGTACATATATATGTGCGTCGGTCAGAAAACAAAGGAATTTTCTTCATCTATGTTTTTGATAAATGCTATCTAACTTAATAAATATGATACATGTGTTTTGCAAACATTAATCAGCAGCTTAACAATTAGAAGAAATATAAGCAAAAAAGGGTGCATAAAGCAAACTTTTGGTAATGCCAATTTAAATTTAATTATTCAGCAAAATATTCGTAGTTCTATACCGAAAGTCGGACACGACTCTCGCCTCTACAAAGAGCACATTATATGCAATATATAAATAAAATCTTCCTCATACTTAGAATTCGCAAAACACCATAAAAATCGTTTTGACCTTAATAAATTCTACTCGGAATCTGCTATGCGGATATCCACAAAAATGTATGGATTCAAAAGAGAATTGTGCGACCTTTCAAAGGATGTTGGTTTAGTGTGGATAGAGTGGATATCCCTGATATATAGAGCGACCCAAAGTTGAAATTTTCCACCATTTTAAATATTTCCTAAACTTGCATTATTTGTTTAACCTTTGTTTTGTAGGGTAGCGGCTTTCATTGAGTATATTGAATGAACTGTGCCTTACAATCACGTACATGTGATATGCCAATAAACAGATTTGAAACAATTAGGTCAACTTAAAAAAAAAACGTAACATTTTGAACAAAGGGTCGAGTAGGCATCTTCATCCTCATAGAAAATACCTCATACCTTACAGTTTTATTATGAAGTGGAACTTAAAAACCTTCTCTCTCTGAAGCAGTAAAACAAAAATATTTGAATTTTTCCGAAATGGTCTATAAGCAGAGATTTTCGGGTACTTATATGTTTGCTTTCCACGAGTATGCATGGTGAAGTAGAAATCCCCAAGAGGGGACCCCCGGCGGGATATATGAAAATATTTGCATGTGGAATACAATATTTTGATTTCGCTCTGGTCGCGCGCACTGCACGAGCCCAATAAAAATATGTCAAATGCAAATTATGCATATACTCGTAAATAAGAATAAATATATGAATCAACAAATAAATATGTCACATAAAAAGAGATATGCCCCACTTCCACATCCACCCGCGGCACTGCCACCGCCAGCATCTTTGTGTAAAAGTCAATTTGCTGTCGCCGCCCAAAAGTCGCGAGTGTCATAAACATGGCGGAATGTGCGTGAAGCCGCAGCGCCGCCCCGCGGCATGAGGCAGGCAAATAAATAAAAATCGAGCGTGAGAGCGGAAAATGCAAAATAATTGCATATTTATGTGAGCCCGACCACTGCTGCAGAGCATCGGAGTATCCGTGGAGCAGGGCACCAAAGGAGCTGCTGCGGGACGAGTGCAGCCATAAATCCCAGTCGAGTTGCTTCTTTTAATATGGCCCGAAATGCGCAAATGTCTGACTGCTCGTAACATTCGCCGGGCAGACGTCATCGTCGTCGCTGGCCTGACGGGCAGGAATTTATTTCAATTAAATAGCTGCGCATTCAGGCATTTACTCAAAGAAAAGCCATTTCAAGGACAAGCCAAGCAAGCAGGCAGCAGAACACTGAAATTCACTTGAATCCGATGGCTGAAATGCTAAACTTTGGAGCCCTTGGAACCGCCGCAACAATACCACACAACAACTTCCGAGGAATCTAAAAATATAGACACTTTCATTACAGTTCTGGGAAGAACCAATCTCCCCTATACGACCAAACACAGAATGGGGTTACATGTGCACTTAAGAATGGTTCATACACATTACCATATTAGATTGTGGCTTTCTTTTTAAATCATTTTCTATTGTACGTCAGTGGAATGTATGACACTGACTGAACAATGGATCAAGTTTTAATATTTATCAATAATTTCTACCAATTCAGCTTCAAGCTTACACTGATGCCTCACTATTTGTAAGTTTTTTTTCCAGTTCGAGATGCCCAATCACGAGGTTTCTCATTCAATTGTTCCAGTTAAATCGGAATAACAGAAATATTTGTAAGAAGCACACTCAAGTGGGTCGCCTTTCCGCACATTTCAAATTTAATGCTTTGAAAGGACCTTAAAGATTAATATGAACTGACCGACGATTGATTGCACAACAAACAGCTCCCATGCCTCGCCTTTATGCAACACCCACAGCATCCAGAGCACCCACAGCACACAAAGCCAACGAAATTAACTAAAAATCAGTCAAGAGAATGAATGGGAGCGTTTTATCTGGTCGCTGGTCTTTGTCCTTTATCTTTGTCCGCTGCGGCGGAAGAGGAAGCGCGTTTGATAATGATAATAATAATAATGCCAACACTTGTCCATTGTTTTAGTCGCTGGCAAAAGCAGCAGCGGCAACAACAAGATGACACTTTAATAGCGCCACTGCGGAACTAAACAAAAACCAAAATCAGCGAAGAGTGGAAGTGGAAGTGGAAGGAGATTGGAGAAAGGCGAAAGCCGAAAGGAGGGTTCGTCGACTGCCGCCAGCTGTCATAATGAAACTGTCAAGGACAATGGGGGCGAACGGAAACACAAAGTATACGTGTGCCCCACCCACCATACCACTACACCACTACACCAGAACACCTCCCCCAACCACTCGCCATCCGCCACTTTCCGGTGTCGGGGTCGGGTCCCAGTTTTGCGATAAAAGCGACAAACGAAATGCTGTCTGACGGGCAGAGGCCATTTATAAGAGCATCAGTTACAATAACACTGCTGCTGGACCAGGACCAGCAGCAGAAGCAGTAGGAGAAGGCGCAGGGCGTGGCTGGAACGGTCCGTCCCCGGCTTTAACAAAAGCCGGGGCCATTGTCATAAATTAAAAATGAGGAAGTGTATGAAAATAAACAAAAAGCAAACAGCCGCATGGAACCAAAGCTCCAGCCGCAGCGGAAATACAAAAAGCGTTGATAAATAAATTTCTAACAATGCACACACACAGACACACACACACACATAGCGAGCAGGGGACCAGAGTCAAATTCCACCGCAGACGAGGCAGAAGCAGAGGCGGGAACTGAGCACAGTCCAAGATAAGCAAGAGCCGAGTCAACGTCAACGCCTTCGCCTTCTCCTGCGCCTTATGCCTAGGTCAAGATTTGAGACTACTCGAAACACTTAAAGCACTTTTCGTGGCCCTTAAAGCTACTCCAATACTGCCAGCCATCCTCGTGCCTGGTGTTTGGTCGGCACCATGCGATATTCAACGCGTGCCACAAATTCGGAGGACGCGCGTATTCCGTAAATGTGCTTTATGGGTCGCAGCAGCCACAGCGACGCACTCACATGCCCTGTGCTCATCCATCCTGCCACAATTTGTGTCTGGCAGGGTCGCACATGCCACTGCAGCAGCAGCAGCAGCAGCAGCAGCAGCAAGAGCCAGCCAGACCAGCTCACCAGCGAGCTCTTGCCAAGCACTGGCCAGCACCAATGGCCAAAGCCGTTGCGGCTCTGATGGAATTTATGAAAATACACTGTCTGGAAGACCAGCCAAAACAAATACACTCACTCACATTCCAACTGGAAGAGTCGACCAACCGATGCTCTTTCCGTTTTATCTTAATTTAGTAAAATTACTGAAATAGGAAACAGTTCTGCGAAATAATTTCAGTTTGCCATAAATCCATCTAAAATGGGTAAAAATGGGTTCCTTCTATACAAACCACAGAGCTAAAAGATACATAGTTGGCCTCTAATCAGAACGAAACATCACCTTAATTAAAAATATGTTGATCAACAACTCCAAACTATTTATAATATTGTATAATTTATTCATGAAATAATCTCTCAACGTTCGAAAGCATTTAAAGGCAAGGCCAGGCTACCCCCCAAGTAATAAACTCATTCGCTCCAACCGAAAATGGGTCTGCGTACTGGGTAACCAAATACCAACAGCCATAGAGCACAGCCCCAACCTCAGTTTCAGTTTTAGCCCCGGCTTCAGGCGCATCCATTCGACGACAGTTTCCGTTCTGCTACGCTCTGACGGGGACCGTTGACCAGATCCCAGCATTTTATTTTATATTATGTACAAGATTTCGTTTCGTTTTTATTTGACTTGTTTTTTGTGGCTTTTTCGGCTTGCCCGGCACGTGCAGTTTTAGTCGTTGCTTAGCCGTGGTAGGTGGCTGTGGCTTGCTGTAGATTTTCACTCTAGATGGGACCGACTCGGCTTTATTTTTGGCTTTTGGCTTTCGGCATCTGTTTAAATTAAAGATTATGCACAAGTAAAAAAGGGGCCGAGGAACCAGGCGGGACGGGAGCCGGGCGAATCTGGCATTCAAAATTTAAATATGTGAACAA